TAGGTTATGCCGCAGGTGAGTCACATTCTGTAAATTACCTAATATGAAGAATAGCTCAGTTGGTTCCAGTGTCATTGCAACAAGCTATATATTTCCATTAGGCTACATTTAATATATTTAATTTTCCTCCCTTTCAGATCAGCCTAATTCTCTGCACAGCTCTCAGGGTCCCATGACCGGCCAGGTGGACGAAGCCCTGTTTGCTGCCTGTCCTGAGAACCAGCCTGTGGAGAGCTGTGAGACCTCATTTACACCCGCAGAGAATCTGGAAAGGAAACTGCAGCATGAGTTCAACTACCATGTATTTGGCAGCCGGATGGATAAATCAGACGTTTCACCTGTGGTATACACTCCTGAAATGAGAGAGGAGGAAAGGAGACGAAGAGTTTCCTATGATCCATTTGCAAAGCCATTTTCTACTCCACAAAGGAGCGAACTTTATCCAAGAGCTGAAAACACAGGCTCAAACACTAAACCTTATTTTCAGCCACAGCGGGCTATATCACCACCAATATGGGGAAATTTAGGTGCTTTTTATGGGCCAAACCCTAACAGTTTCCTAGCAGGAAACACAGAGGATCTCTATGGATCATGTGCAGTCTCCCCATTTAGCCTAAGTAAACCTCCTGTGCCTGAAACTGTCCCAAACCCAAAGTCACACAGCTCTGCAAATTGGCATCTGAAGAATGCAGACACGGATACAGGTAAGATTCTCCCTCCTTCAAACCTCCTGTGTCTGAAAACCCATTTGCCTTCTTAAAAACAAAGCCCACTTGCAAATAACACTGATCTGGGATGCAGCAAGAGCTTATTTACTTTGTCGGGTTCTCTTTGTTTTTTTATTGTCATTTCAGGTCACTAATATGCTCTGGTTTTGATTTCCTTATACCTGTTTTTGCTGATCTTGGGCCGTTAACTTCACCTGGATCATTTTTAAGCACTAGTGTAATAGAGGAGCTTCAGAGCCAGGGCTTAGCTCTTTAGCTACCAACTTAACAATAGCAACCAACAGCTGCAGCAGCTGTGGTGAGAGCACCAAAAACAAGAGCCGTTACCAACCACGCTCAGAAAGTAAAGAAGTACCATTGACTCACAGAATGTGGCGTTCATACCATGCATGTGCAGAAACTAAGGTGCACTCTTGCCTCGGTTTCTCCAGAGAGCTCTCTCCAGTGCTGGATGGGGAGCTTCTCTCAGTATTTGCTAGTGAACGATGGAATAAAAAGGCATGGAAGCACAGCAAGAAGAGAATACTGGTTTTAGCAAAAAAACAGAAATAAGTAGTCAGTAACCAGAGGCATTTATGATGTACCTTTTAGGAACTGGATGTAGTAGGAGATATGTTAGTCTGCTTCTACTAGACACTGGCTATTTTTAGTGTGGCATTCCTTTTCAGAGCTTCTCACAAGGAGAGCAAGAATACCTGGCTCATTATCAAGCGTAATGCCACAAAGATGCCATTCTGTTAAATTATGTATGCAGGGGCTGTGATTAGTTGCTTACTTGAGTTTGCTTGCTGACATGAAGCTGAGAGCTGTCGTGTCAGGAAGAAAGGATAAGAACACCACTAATAAAATAAGATCCTTTGATAAAAAGAAATTAAAAAAAAAAAGAAAAAGAGAAAGAAGTTGTTACAGGGAGGGAACATGCAATAGTGTAGGAGATGTCAGCCTGAGTTTTAGAAGACCTGCACAGTAGCTCTCCCCCTCTTTCTGGGTGACTGTAGCCTAGTCACTCTTAGTGCTCCAGTATGAATTGCCGTAGCTCATTTGGGATCATGTTAAGAAATTACTAACCTGAGGAGAAGGTTACATCTCTGCCAGATATAACTGTCCCCAACAAAAGGTGCAGTGGTGTCCCGTTTCTTAGCTACAGCAAGTGACGACTGATGCACTAGTAGAAACCACAATCCCTCTCGGCTGGAAGCAGCAACAGCCTTTTGGGGAGCTTTCTTGGTTTGGAATGTGCCGGTGTGGATGCCTGCCATGGGGCACATCCATCCTGAGCTGCGCCCTGGTCCTTTGCAGCCATCTCCTCGGCAGGTGGTCGTGCGGCCACGTGGACCATGACCCTCCTGTCTGGGCCGCTGCTCATTGCCTCACAAGCAGTCACTGACCAAGCCAGGGTGATGGGAGTCACACTAACTGAAGTTATTCAAGGAGATGAAGTTCTACTAACAACTTTCCTGTCTTTTTGTATATAGTAGTAGAACGTATATACCCATACTATTAAGTATGTTTGCTCTTTTTATTATTATTATTCTATAATGCTTCTCAGTATTCTCAGTCAGCATTTCTGTTTTTTCTCTTTGTTTAGGTAACAGCGATTCCAGTTCTTTCATGAGGGGAAATTTTGCATATTATCCTAGCACATCTCAGTTAACCAGAGTAAACACAGGCAAGTGCTGTAGCCTTATCTGTGCTGGTAGCCAACAGGGCATGCATTGCAACTTGAGCAGGAAAGCAAGTACCTTCAGGACCTTGAAATATTTGATGTGACTGCTTGCTATCTTGAACCACAGCAGAACTCAGCAATACCAGTATCTAGAATTAATTTCGGTCTCTAGCAGGACGTATATTCACATTCAGAAATAAGGGTATATTTGATAGATCAAGAACTTTATGTTCTCTGACATAAGGTAGCTTTAAAAAATAAATAAAAAATGAAGGCATTGTCCTATAACCTGGAACTTGGACCCACTCACTTCCTTGAAGAATTAAGCTGCAGTGACTAGACCCAGCTCCTGAAGCCCACCTGTATCTGCTACACCCATCCTAAGGGCCATCTCTTGCTCTGGTTTTGTAGTGCAAACTTCTACCCGCAGCCTTCAGGCTGATCAGCTTTCCGTGAGGCACAGTTCTCCACTGTTCAGCTGCCCTGAAACCCCCTGAAGTTATGCCCTGTCCTCTGGAAGGTGTTAAGATATAGTGGGTGATGACTCAGTACAAGCTCAGGAATGAAGTGAATAACATTCCTGTGCAAATAGATAAAACTGACCACTAGATTTTTATATGCAGGAATGATATATTGCGAAAGAAAGTGATGCCAGCAAGACACTCTAATAGAACATGAAATATGGATAGCGTAGGAGCAACCAAAAGTGATTTTCTGTAGCCTTATAGAACTTTGAAATCATAAGAGTAAAGCTGGACTTTTCTACTTCAAATGTAATAAAAGTATTTAATCCCTTCTGTGATTAATAGAACCTTCCTCCTTACCCTTCACATGTTACATTTTCCTTATACAGATGATTCTATCAAATACACCATAAATAACAGTACCGGAATTCAAATTGGATCCTACAATCACATGAAGATTGACGAGCAGAATCAGCACATAAGCACTTCTCCTGTCATTGCAGAAACATCTTATTCATATTATGAAGCAACGGGTATATTTGGTAAGAGACATCTCCTGATTTTTGGAGTATTCTCCCTCTATAATATACCTCTGAGTACCTTTTGAGCAAATGCAAGTATGGATGTATAGCCATCAGGAAGCAGAGCAATAATGACTGTAAACTCAATGGAAGTAGTGTCCAGATTGATGATCCTCCCCTGACTGTGATTTTAATATTTCATTTTGGTAGTAATTTGGTAGTAATTTAATATATTTTCATTGATCAGGATGGGGGTTAATTATCTCTGTGTATTCCGAGGTATACAGATTAATAGTGTCTAAGAGCACAAAAGGCATTGTAGAGACATTAGTCAAGCTTTATAAGTACTCTGAAGGGGTGTCTCAATTTTGAAGATGTTTAAATGACAAACTGTGGTAGTCTCAGATCAAAAAAAAAAAGGTCAACACCTGATTTGTGAATAGGTGGGTCTTGAGAGTGAGTGCCTGTTCTGCAGTATTTGGTAGCATTGCCTCCATGAAGCCCACTTTTGATTGTATGCCCCAAGTTTTGCCTCCCTTTGTTACCGGTACTTAGTTTGGGAACAAGAACAGAGGTGATCTCAAAGGGCACGGCTCCGTCGCTGGCATTCGCGCTGGGGGCCCTTGCCTCAGCGAGCAAAACCCGAGCCGCGCAGCAGGAAAGCGGGGAGCAGTCCCCGGGTGGGCAGGTGAGCCCCGCACCAGAGGCAGCTCTGAGGCAGCGGCGGCACCAGCAGGGGAGGCAGCCCGAGCCCACGGTGACAAGAGCTGCCCCAGGGAGTTCTGCAACCGGCGTCGTCGTGGCGCGGCACTCAGGCCACAGCATGGCCATCGCGGCACTCAGGGCACAGCGCAGCGTCGCGGCACTCGGGGTACGGCGCGGCCTTTGGCACAGGCAGGGTGGGCACAGGCAAGACAGGCGTGGTGCTGCTCCCTGCTCAGCAGGAGAGCCCTCCCCACAGCCATCACTTCAGTGAGGAAGCAGCCGAAGCCACGGTGTGTGCTGGGCAGAAAGCCAGCACCAGGAAGGCTGTGGGGATGCAGACTGAGATGCCACTAGTACATACAGCTGTCCAGGTCTTTGGCTGCCCAGAGTATCCGAGTTTCTCTATGTTAGTGGGGGACAGCAGAGCCAACACCTGCATCAGGTGTGAACAGGTAGATAAACTGCTTAGCCTGGTGGTGTCACTGAAGGAGGGGGCAGAAAGGCTACCAAAATTAGAAGGTGCATCAGAAAGTGTGAAAAAGAGATAGATTGGTAGAGTGACACCCTGCAGCCATCTGAAGAAGTGCACAGGGGGAACACTCCCAAACCACCTGAGGATCCCCTATCCTCTTGCCATAGGGCAGAGGGGGCAGAGTTAAGAAACGAGGAGGAATGGAAACAGATTTCCACTCATTGTGACAGGAGAGTTTCCTCCTGTCCCTCCTTGCCTCCACACGTGTCCATAGACAACAGTTGTGAGGCCGTGGAACTCAAGGGAGAGCCAAATAAGGGCACAGACCAAGGTCCATCTAGGGGGTTGTCTAGGGTGAGGCCGCCAAGTCCACGCCTTAAGGCTGCCTCCCCTAAAAGGAAAAGAAGGGAAGCTGTTGTGGGCGACTCCCTCCCAGGGAGGTCTGTTGTCACCATGGCACCTGAGTAAGGGACATTGCAAAAAGGCTACCAGATCTTGTACAGCCCTGTGACTACTACCCACTATTGCTTTTCCAAGTTGGTAGTGATGAAGTTGCCAAGAGTCCATTAGAAGGTACTTCAGGCATCGGGAAGATAGGTTAGGCGAGCAGGAGCGCACATGGTGTTCTGCTCCATCCCCTCAGTGTCAGGGAAAGATGGTGAGAGGAACGGGGAAAACCACCTACTCAACACGTGGCTAAGAGACTGGTGTCAGCAGTCAGATTTGGTGTTTTTTGATCATGGGGCAGTCTGTACAACTCTGGGCCTTCTGGTGACAGATGGGGCTCATCTGTCTTTCAGGGGGAAAAGAATCCTTGCCCTTGAATCCTTGGAGTTGATGGGATTCATTGAGAGGGCTTTAAAATAGATATGAAGGGGAAGGGCCATAAAACTGGCATCTATCGGGATGAGCGTAGAGGTGGCACGCCAGGACTGGGGAGAGCTCAGTAGCCCAGCTGAAGTGCCGTCTATACCAATGCACGCAGCATGGGCAACAAACAGGAAGAGCTAGAAGCCATGGTGCATCAGGAAAGCTAAGACAGTTGTTGTCACTGAAATGTCACGGGACCACTGTCATGACATGACTGTCATGACTGCAGGGGTGCTGCAGTGGATGGCTACAGGCTCTTCAGAAGGGACAGGCAAGGAAGGAAAGGAGGTGAGGCAGCACTGTGTGTTAGGGAGACCTTTGAATGCATGGAGCTCTGCGTGGGTGACGGAAAAGCCGAGTGCTTACTGGTCAGGATCAGGGGGAAGGCCAACAAGGCTGATATGCTGGTGGGAGTCTGCTGTAGGTCACCCAACCAGGATGAAGAGACAGACGAGCACTCTACAAGCAGCTGGCAGAAGTCTCATGATCAGCAGGCTTTGCTCTTGTGGGAGACTTGAACCTACCAGATATTTGTTGGAAATACAATAAGGCAGAAAGGAAACTGTCTCGGAGGTTCGTGGAATGTGTGGAAGGTAACTTCTTATCACGGCTGGTAAGGGAGCCTGCCAGGGGAGGAGCCCGCTGGACCTGCCCTTTGTCAACAGAGCAGGACTGGTGGGAGATGTGGTGGTCAGAAGCTTGTCTTGGGCGTAATGACCACAAAATGATAGCGTTTTCAGTTCCTGATGAAGTCAGGAGGGATGTCAGCAAAACAGCAACATTGGACTTCCGGAGGGCAGACTTGCTGCTTCACTTGGACACACACAGGTCTGTGAGGCCAGATGGGATCCACTTGACCGTTCTGAAGGAGCTGGCGGAAGTGCTCTCTGAGCCACTCTCCATCATCTGTCAGTGGTCCTGGCCAACAGGGGAGGTCCCAGCTGACTGGAGGGGGACGGTCCTCTTTAATATCCTTATCAATGATCTGTACAAGGGGATTGAGGGCATTCTCAGTAAATTTGCAGACAACACCAAGGTGGGAGGAAGAGTTGACCTGCTTGAGGGTAGGAAGGCTCTACAGAGGGATCTGGACAGGTTGGATCAATGGGCTGAGACCAACCGTAAGAGTTTCAACAAGGCCAAGTGCCGGGTCCTGCACTTTGGTTAACAAGAACCCCAAGCAGTGCTACAGGCTTGGGGCAGGGAGGCTGGAAAGCTGTGTGGCAGAAAAGGATCTGGGGGTCAGAAGGCTGACAGCCAGATGAATGTGAGCCAGCAGTGTGCACAGGTGGCCAAGAAGGCCAACAGCCTCCTGGCTTGTATCAGGAACAGTGTAGCCAGCAGGACCCCCTGTGTACTCGGTGCTGGTGAGGCCACACCTTGAATACTGTGTTCAGTTTTGAGGCCGTCTCTACAAGAAGGACTTGAAGGTGCCGGAGTGTGTGCAGAGAAGGGCAATGAAGCTGGTGAAGGGGCTGGAGCACAGCCCTTACAAGGAGCAGCTGAGGGAGCTGGGGTTAGTTAGCCCAGAGGAGACTCAGGGGAGACCTTATCAGTCTCTACAACTACCTGAAAGCAGGTTGTAGTGAGGTGAGGGTTGATCTCTTCTCCAGAATAACTACTGAAAACAAGACAAGAGGAAATGGCCTCAAGTTGCACAGGGGAGGTTCAGGTTAGAGGTTAGGAAGAATTTCTACATAGAAAGAGTGGTGAAGCATTGGAACAGGCTGCCCAGAGAAGCTATGATTCTATAACTTAAACCATGGCGAGAATCTGTAATTCTGCCCTTAACTGGGGTAGGGAGAAAAGCTCCCTGTGTAGCTGGGGCCACTGTCAAGCATTGGAACAGGCTCCCCAAGGAAGTGGTGGAGTCACTGTCCCTGGCAGTGTTCAAGAAATGTGTAGATGAGGCATTTAGGGACATGGTTTATTGGACATGGTGTTGAGGGGCTTATGATAGGACTTGATCTTGAAGAACTTTTCCAACCATAACGATTCTATGATTCTATAGTGGAGGGAGTAGAAGGAGTCTTAAGCAATGGTGTTTTCTTGAACTTTTTTTTTTCTTTTTGCAGACAATAATACTGTCCTCTCTGAGAAGCATCTGAATCTAGTGAGAGAAAAGCTGGCTAAACAGTGGAAACACTGTGCTCGTAAACTGGGCTTTTGTGATCCAGAGATTGATGAAATTGATCATGACTATGAACGGGACGGACTGAAAGAAAAAGTTTACCAAATGCTGCTCAAGTGGGTAATGAGGGAAGGTTCCAAAGGTGCCACTATTGGAAAACTTGCCAAAGCCCTGTTTGGGTGCCGAAGACTGGATCTCCTTACTAGTCTAATGCAAATGAATGAAGAGCAGGTTGAGTGAGAACCGGTGGAAAAGGAGGGCATTTTTCCCAACAAGTTTCCATAGGAAGTAACATTTACGAATGGACTTTCTGGACCTTTCCTGTTTTGTATGAACCCTTTCTTTTTGGAATGTATTTTTCTACCAAGCAGTTTTCAGGGAAGACCTCCAATAACTCAAAGTACTTATGTCCAGAGAAGTAGGTCTTCCAGGGGATAAAAGAAAATAGGCATTTTCCTGTTGAATCAAATGATTGCACTAAGATGACAACTGCAACACAATTTTGTAGAGTTGTCAAGGAGAATGTCTGTTTCTTTTATACAACAGTTTTAGACTTGTCTTCTAAGCAAGGACTCAGTTCACTTCTGAACATAAGTCTCTTGTTTCAGCAAAGCTAACATAGGCATAAGAATATGTCAAAGACTGCCTCACTGTTTGAAAGCCTTGGGCAGAAAGTAAAATTAATTCTTGATTTGGTCTAAGTGACAATACCGAAAAGCATATTAGACCAGATTGTTCTAGGCTGATAAGATCCTATTTTAAAAGTCCTTTTACAGTGCTTTTTAGAGAAAGAGGGGCGTAATTAACAAGAATACTTTCCTTGCACAGGATACATTAATCCATTAATCTTGCATTAGATTTGACATTGCTTGTTAGAGATTTGGCATGATAAATCTCTGGTCTGCTTTATGAAATGCTGAAAAAGAAATACAATCACTATGCAATTCCTAGCAAAAACTCGGGAATATATAACCTTTGGGAAGGAGAAGTGTTTTATTCCATATGCTACTCAGGCTGAGAACAGGAATTTAACAAATGCTGAATCTCTTAGGCTGCACTTACACTAGTAAATTATATGAGCCTGGGAATGCTCCTGGGCACTAAATTAACTGGAATGCAGCACCCTGCTTCCAGGAAAATGTATTTTCATTGTGTCATGCTCAGGAATCATTTGACTGAGGGCTATTACACAGTGCCAGAGTTGTGCTGGACAACTCTGTAGCTGATCATGTCCAGTGCCTGAGAGTGCTCCTACCACTGCTTTAGCTACAATTATTGACAAAATTTTACTGTGCAGATTCTACAAAGGAAGAATTGTGCTGTTTTATGCCCAGAGAATCATTATACCAAGCTGTGTCCATGAAGGACAACACCTCTTACTTCAGTGAAACTGATGAATGTTGGCAGCAGATCTTTTGGGACCTTCTTCTTCTGGCTCTAGAACAAGCAGTGACTGCTCATTAAATTCTGGTTGAAGTCAGAAAATGAACAGTTTAATAACAGCATAGTCTCAATGGATTTCTGCTGTTTGATAAGAGCAGCCACCATTTTATTGAAAGCAGAATGAAAGTGAGATCTTTGCAAATACCAACAAACTTGGATTAGCTTTACAGCTACTTAGCATAAGGCAATGATAGAAATGATAATCCGGATTGGAGACTTCATCAGAAATTAGTGTGAAGGTGTGTCATCCCTCCACAGGTACCAGAGCATTTATATATTGTTGATCCATGTAAACCCATACTTCTCTTTTTGTTGAACCTGGGCTGTATTGAGTATTTGCTACAGTAACATTTGCCCAGTCCTCAGAAGTTACCATGTTGCCTTATTGTTTTGACTTAGAAATGTCCAAAATTTCCTGCTAGCTCCTAACAAGAGAAACCCTCTTGGGTAGCAGACAATTCAGTCAAAGGCAAGGTTGTAGATCTCGGTACAGGGTCAACTGGGTGAACTGGAAAATCTAGTGGTGTGTAGGAAGTCCAGTGACATGAGCCAGTGCCCTCCTCTGGTCTTAAAATCTACGGAACTTTTTGCGTTGCAGAAGGACCAGCTTATACTAACTTACAGGCTTCCCCATTTTTCCCCAAGAAATCAACATTGGGGTTGCTGGAGTGGAGTCTGACAAATAATGGGAAGAGATGGAAGCCACCTCAGTTAAGTGGGACATGCATGTCCTTGCCAATAGCCTGTCCAGCCTGGTTAGGAGGGCTTTAAGCTCGGCAAGAAGAGAGTACAGGGACAGGGCAGTCAGTGTGACATTGCTCAAGCCACGATGCCTCCAGCAGGTGCATGCAGCTAGGGATGAGTGTACGGGACATGACGACAGAAAGTTTTCTTGCACCCCTCCTGGGAAACCTGCAGGCTCAATTCCTTCCATGGAGTGCCTGTACACCAGTGCACATAGCGTGGGGAATAACAGGAGGAATTAAAGATATGTGCGGTCACAAGGCCATGTGACCGTGCAGATGCAGAGACATGGTGGGATAGCTCACGGGACTGGAACGTTGTCATGGATGGCGGTGTGCTTAAGGAAAGACAAGTCTGGAAGGTGAGGTGGGGGAGTTGCTCTTTTTGTGAGAGAGCAACTGGGCAGTATCGAGCTCTGCCTTGGTGTGGTTGAAGAGCGAGTGGAGAACTTATGGGTAAGGATTAAAGGGCAGGCACAGGGGAGGACAAAGTGCAAGTTGAGAGCCTGTGGGTGAGGATTAAAGGGCAGGCCAACAGGGGCGACACTGTTGTGGGTGTTTACTACAGGCCACCTGATCAGGAAGAGGAAGGCCATGAGCAGGCCAACAGCAGTTGGAAGGAGCTTCATGATCACAGGGCCTGGTTCTAATGGAGGACTTCAACCAGCCTGGTAACTACTGGAAAGACAACACAGCTAGGCACAAACTGCCGCAGAGGCTGCTGCAGAACATTGATGATAACTTCTTGACACAGGTTATGGAGAACCAACAAGGAGAGGTGTGCTGCTGGACCTGGTACTAACCAATAAAGACAAGTGGTTGGAGATATGAAGTTTGGGGGCAGCCTTGTCTACAGTGACCAGGAGATGAAGGGTGCTGCGAGGAGGAAGCAGGGCAGTAAATAGGGTCTCAATCCTGGACCTTAGGAGGGCAAACTTTGGCCTCTTCAGAGACCTACTTGGGTAATCCTATGGGTTAGGGCCCTAGAAGGAAGGGAGCGTCCAAGAGGGCTGGTCAGTATCCAAGCATCACTTCCTCCAAGCTCAAGATCTGGGCATCCCTATGAGTAAGAAGTCAAGCAAAGCGGGCAGAAGATCTGCATGGATGAGCAAGGAGCTCCTGGCAAAACAGACAGAAGGAAGTACACAGAACATAGAAAAGGGGACAGGCCACTTAGGAGGAGTATAGGAGTATCATCAGAGTATTCAGGTTTGTGACAAGGAAGGCCAAGGCGCATCTGGAATTAAATCTGGCAGGGTATGTCAAGGACATGGGGTGCTTCCTCAAATACATCAGTAGCAAAAGGAAGACTAGGAAGAACAGGAATCCCCTGCCAATGGGGTGGATGCCCTGGTTACCAAAGATACAGAGAAGGCAGAGATACTGAATGCCCCTTGAGGGTCTACTGAGGTAAAGCTTCAGTCTTTACTGATGGCATTCCAGAGGATGAGCCCCCTGGAAGATATAATAGGAAGTCTGGAGAAAGGAAGACTTGCCCTTGGTTGAGGAGGACCATGTTAGAGATCATTTAAGCAAACCTGACACCCACAATCCATGAGCCCTGATGGGATGAACTCAGTGTGGCGGAAGCCGGTGGGTGTTATTGCTGAGCCACTCTCCATCATCTTTGAAAGATCATGGAGAACAGAAGAGGCTCCTGAGGACTAGAAATGCAAATGCCACTCCAGTCTTCAAGAAGGTCAAGAACCCAGGACCCAGGCAACTACAAGCCAGTCAGCCTCACCTCCATCCCTGGAAAGGTGATGTGACAGTGCATCCTGGATGCCATCTCTAAGCATGTGGGGGCAAGAAGGTGAACAAGAGCAGTCACCATGGATTCACCAAGGGGAAATTATGCTTATCCAATCAGCCTTCTATGATGGAATGGCTGGCTGGTTAGATGAGGGGACAGCACTGGATATTGTCTCCCTTGACTTCAGCAAAGCTTTTGACAGTGTCTTCCATAACATCTTCATAGGCAAGCTCAGAAAGTGTTGGTTAGCTGAGTGGAGAGGGAGGTGGATTGAGAGCTGAGAGGATGGCAGAGCTCAAAGATTTGTGATCAGTGGTGCAGACTCTAGCTGGAGGCTGTAGCTAGCGTTGTCCCCAGGGGCCAGTACTGGGTCCAATCCCATTCAACTTTGACCTAGAAAAAGGGGCAGGGCAGAGTGCACCCTCTGCACATTTGCTGAGGATACAAAAGTGGGAGGAGTGACAGATGCACCAGAGAGGTGTTCTGCCATTTAGAAGGACCTTCACGTGGAAGTTCTTTTGGCTGGCTTGCCCCTTGATTTGGGCAGAGTTGTTGGCCGTAATGGCAAAGCCTGCAAGCAAGAGTAGAGCCTGAGTAGCTGGGGCTTGCAATTGGAATTAGAGGGGTTGAGCGCCAAAGGGGCGGTTGCTGAGCTGAATGCTGCCTGAGGAAAGCAAAGGCAAAGAGGTGAGGAGTGTGGGGGTTGTCCCTCGGTGTCAGCACAGTGTCTGCCCAGCTCTGCATCTGTGCATGCTATGGAACTCACTCTAAGGCCTGGGAGGACTATGCTGGGCAAGGCTTCAAGGGCAGCTTACAGGGTGACATTTCACAGGTGCCATGCCTGGGGCAAGTGAGAGGAGAGAGAAGCACAGCCTTCACGTGTGGCTCGCCCGGCTTCCCTCACAGGAAGGCTTGTCGCCTCGCAGCAGAACGACAGCCTGAGAGAGGAACTGCATCTCAGTAAACATAGTGCACCTGAAAGAGGACCTGAACTCTCAGAGCAGGGTTTCCTAGGAAGCTGAGGGCTTCAAAGAATTCCAGGTAGGTCTAAATCATAGTCTGGATCACTGGCAGCACAGGAACTTCCACAGAAGCATATACTGAGGTTCTGGGACTTGTTGTGCTCATTCCCGTGGCCTCTCTAGTTACCACCTGCTTCCTCCTCGATCCCAAATTAACACATGATGACCCATGAACTCGTGTTGAAACTTTTACTGTCTGTTGCACTGCCTGTGAGATATTCCGATATAGCTCACCTCGTGTTCTCTGGAACACTTTCTATACTTCGCTGAAGATCCTTGTTTTGCGTGCA